TCAGCCGCTGCTTCCGCTGCACCTGAGTGTGCTCGGAATGCTGTTCAGTGGTTTCTTTAACGCGCTGCAGGAATGCTGGAGTCATCTTCTCCTTGTTGTTTCCTACACATTTACTCTGGGTGCTCATGTTTCTTTCCTGTATGTAGTGATGCTGTTTCTCGCCATACTCTCCTTGAAATCGGTGACTTCAGCAGCTTTATGGGTTGTATTGCTGTTGTGACGCTGCCCTTTTGACTCTCTGTCTCTCTCTGGGGTACCAATCAGCCGGGGAAAACAAAACGCTGAGCCTGCTGGACCGAAGTATATTAGGTACAGAACATGGCTACTTTTATAGGTCACATGCGCTTACCTCGCTGCTATCACTGAGGTGACTCACATCTCTTGTCTGAACAGATTCGACTCTGGCAGCCGCCATCACTGTCTGACTGTAGGTAGGACCACGTCCGCGACATAGCAACCCATGCGGCGATGACGGTCTGATTTCGTCAGCTTCCGGTTTGACCATGACAACCAGTCTGTCAGCCGCTCACGTGATCTGGCCGATCTCGCCCCGCTCGCGTGCACCATCGTAGTCAGCTGTTTCGCCTCCGTGACACCTCCTCCTCCGAATTGAAACTGCTTCCCCACCATGCGTACTTGCGTCAGTTCAGCTTTCTTTGTTTTGACATCAATCAGTTGTCCTGGTGGTTTTCTTCTCCTTCTGGCCGCTCTTCGATATATGTTGTCTGCGGGCCCTTGTGTTTTTCCGTGGTTCGGTCTCCGCTGATCTGCGTGCCTGATCCATTTCTTGTTTCTAACCGTTTGTTCGTAACTGACACCACCATTTCTGCGGATCACCCTTCCTCTTGACCACCACTTCGGCCCTCGGAACTCTCGCGCGTATCCCCTGTTACCAATTGTGAAATGACGCACCCTGTCTGTCCGACTTTTCCCCTCATGACAACTGCAGTGTTTTTCTTTCCTGGTTGGCACAAGGCGTTTTGCTCTGAATACTGGTTTAGTGACTGGCTTGACGTTCGGGGCAGCACTGGTGATTCTGCAGCATTCTGGACCAGGTTGGAGCATTGCTTCGTGGCGTCTATTCATCTGTGTAATATGACCGCCATTGATTTCTATCGTCGCATCTTTAACTTTGATGGGCACATCTGATACTGAAGTGGCAGTGTGGCAGAAGTTTTGCTCCTCCATAGCTTCTGAATTTGCGACCACATTTGCAGTAGGAGTCAATTTGAGCATCTTCTGACATTCTGAAAGAATTTCTTGCGATGTCAGCTTCACTTCCAGTTCCCATTCTACTTGAATGTTTAATTTTTGTGATAGCACTGCCATCAACTGCCTCTGGGACTTTTCGAACTGCGTCTGCTGCTCCTGCAAAAGTGCATGCAATTGCTCAAAGCTGACTGCCATTTTGGGTTCGATTGAACTCTCGTCGCCACTGTTGTGACGCTGCGCGGCCTGCTCGCTCTCGCCTGGTTGATTCACGCCTGTTGCTAAATCTGCGCCTTCACGCGTGCTCTGATTTACGCCTTGGCAAACCCGACCGGAACGAAGACAGAAGACTACTCAGCAGACCAGAGTTGTATTAAGGCAAAGAACGGTCATATTTATATGTCACTATCACCAGGCGGATTTGGCTCTAAGCCCACGCTGCACACCTACTTGTCCGCTGCATCTGTCCGATTCACCGTGTTGCTCGGGTACTACAGTCTTCGTTCGCCTACCCGGCACATGGCAACGCACGTGATGTCTGACGCGTGATTTCATCAGCTTCCGGTCTGGCCTTGGCAACACGCCTGGTGTCTGATCAGATTTCGGCTGGGCCCTGGTAACATGCTCGTAGAGTCCTTCCCAAGTACGCTTGGTGGTAAACGCGCGAGCGTCGGCTCTCAGCTTTCTCGTCCAACTGTCAATTGCCATCGACGAACACAAGGTTGGTGAGGATCAATTTCTATGCGGATGACGTTCGCTTGCACCGCCGCGGCCTTGGAGATGCGTTCTCTCGCTGCTCGTCGCTCATTTTGGTAGTTACGTGCAGCACTAGGCTAATAGAGCTATGCTGCTTTTAGTGGAACCATAATAGCCTACGCTGCTCCAGTAATGGTGCTGCATAGTTTCGTCCACACACCCACACAAAATACGCGAAGGCCCATAGAGTGACTGGTCAACTGGGTTACCTGCTTGATGTGGTGAACGACGCCCTTGACCAGGAGGGCTTGCAAAAATCGCCTACCGCTTGCACAGTGCGGTTGCATTCTCGCAAGCACAATGTGGCCTGAACATCGTCTAGTCGCTTTACTTCCCTGTCCTTGATAACATACTACAGCAGCAGGCCAGTGAAGCTAGACTTGGGTTTGGTGAAGTCATGATAGCCTGCACTGATCCAATAATCGAGCAATTGAATGGGTTGGCCCACACAAAATACGCGAAATCCGATAGAATGACGGGAGACAACTGGGTCACCGCATCATCCTCAGTTACTGTCCCAGTGATCGAATTGGCCAAAGTTTACTTCAGTGGGAATCGCAGTTCATATTGGTATTGCGTATCCTAATTCATTCACAAATCGAAGGATTCACATAATAATAATAATAATACGTATATTTCTCTTGATGAGAGAAACTGTCTATAGCGGCACAGATCAATTAGTACAGAAGAATCCATGCTCTTGCATAGGTGACATGCATAAGCGGAGTATTGGGATATGCGTTTCATGTAATAACATTTTGGCGGATGGTTAAGGCCAAAGCCTAGTTATGTAAACATTGGTGTTTATGTTTTTGGAATAGCTCTACGAGGGATTTTTCCCATGTGAATATGGAGCTTAGGGTAGTTGGATCAAGGTAATTGGCGAGTCTGCTACTAAATGTTGCCACATTGTCACGACCTGAAGATTATTGGTACTTTATTCCACAGATAGCTGTATCTAACCAGGAAGAAATTAGAGCGGAGGTTCGTTTGGTATATTCAGTGTAACATCTTTATTACGAGGCGCCCGAGTTGAGCAATGTTGTAAACTAAGCGTAGACAGGTTGGAATAGGTCTTTTTGTGTAACATATTGAAAAGCAACAATGAGTTGTGCTTCAATCCTCGAATCCAAAATGGTTCGAGATGAAGTTCATTGCAACATTCTCGATAACTCATAGCAGTGTTTACTAATCAGATGTTTAGTAAATGACGTCTTCAGGTGTTGCACAACAATTCTGTCACTCTTTCTCGGATTTCCCTATACTATGCCACTGTATTCGAGGATGGGACGAGTGAGTAGCTTGAAAGCTCAACTCTAGCACGAGTTGTGTGTATTTTGTTTGATATATTGAACATAGACTGTCTGGCACGTGCTACTTGGTATTGGGCCTGTTCGGAAAAATTGAAGGTAGACGAGTACCTAATGCCAAGCTCTCGCGTGGAAACTGTGTAGGGACGCGTTCATTGTTTAGGGTGATAGATCCCTCGGAGATGCAGCAGCCGTAAGACATGATGCTTGGTTTCTTAGCCGAGAGGTTCATCACCCATGTGCAGCACCATGACTCAAGGGAATGTAAATCATCTTGAATGAGCAGTAATGTCCCGTGAAGCTCGTCACGCCGAAGATTATAGACGATTTTGATATCGTCAGCAAACAAAAATGATATCCCATGTTTTACAGATGTTGTGTCACTGATGTGGAGCAAAAAGAGTAAGGGACCGAGCACGCTCCCTTGAATGACTCCACTGGTGATTGAGCGTGGGGAAGAGCGATAATCATCTAAAGTGACCACCTGATGACGATCACTCAGGTATGACGATAGCCAACCTAGTAATGGGTCCCGGATCCCAAAGTTCTCCAACTTTTGTAATACTCGCTTGTGCGGTACTCGGTCGAACGCTTGGTGTATGTCAATAAACAAGATTACTACTGCATAGCCGGAATCGATTGATTCTGAAGTGTGATTAAGGTAATGTAGTTGACAGGTGGTGCACGATCGCTTATTGAGAAAACCATTGACTTTCCAATGCTAGGTAACATTTAAGTCATAGCAGACTACGTGATTTGGGAGTCTGATTTTCCAATAGTCACACAACTACACAGGTTCATGCATAAAGGCACAGACATATAAACTACGCGAAGATCGAGAGGAGGACACTCAGTCACCGCCTTTGATCGAGGTTCGCTATCAAGCGAACGGTTTGCATTGGTACTCACTGCTTACACAATTCGTTTACGTTGGCATGACTACTATGTAATCTTAAACTCGTGTAGCCCTAACTCCACATTTCTGGGCAGCAAATTGCTGATTTTCTGCTTAACATGCAATGTGTCCAAAGTGTTTTCCAAAGTGTCTAAATTGGTTTGCAGAACGTCTAATTTGGTTTGCTGGACGTCCAGTTTAACGTGAAAATGGTATGTATGCTTGCACCGCTCACGTGGGTTGAACCTTGTTCTTTGCATGCGGCCTGTAGATCCGTGCCTCCGCACCTTGGGCGAAGTGTCCGATCGTCACCACGTTAGCGTACTTGATGATTTCAGAATTTTGTTTGGAGCGATGGGCCACGTTTCTTCCTCAGAATTTTCTCACACCGTCGGTTGCTTAAGGTGGTATAATTGATTTGTCTTGGGTCACCTGTACATGTTTTTTCCCCAGCTCTAATCTTTCAGGACGCAGAATTGCTCATGTGCAATGTTCTTCCCGTTGCAGTGACATGAGGTCTTTGCGTTTTGCTTCAGTGACGGATCCGCGTTTACCTGTTCGAGGCGAACTCGGATTTGTGTTCAGTCTTGCTCAGTATTTCACTGTCTACAACTTTCCATCCATTTTTACTTCATCCATTCTGTTCCTGGTCGCATGTACATAACACTAGGGAGACATGCGGACACCGTACTGCTGCTTTTTTATTTCCTAGACCATTTATGGCTTGGCACTTTTTTGTCCTTTGTATTCAAAGCTATCCACGTTGACTGTTTCAAGTGATTTGCGTAGCAGTAGTGACCGTCATACTTATTTATTTTTACTTTTTCCAGAGGAGTATGATGCATATATTATCGTGTCCTTTGTGAACGCGACTTTGGTTCTTTCCATCGGAGAAACTGTGGAGGAGGTCACTGATTCCGGTTTTTTGGGCACCACTCCCACTCTTACGTGTTCACAGTTGGGCGATGATGCTCTTGTGCAGGTCTATCCTGACGGAATCCGTCACATTCGAGCGGACAAACGCGTAAATGTCTGGCGTGCCCCTGGGAAAAAAACAATCGTCAAATGTGCCGTGAACCGACGACAAGTTGTGATAGCGCTCACCGGAGGTGAATTGGTTTATTTCGAAATGGATATGACGGGACAGCTGAATGAGTACACCGAGCGCAAGGAAATGCCAACTGATGTCATCTGCATGGCTCTGGGTCGTATTCCAGCCAGCGAACAGCGATCACGTTTTTTGGCTGTCGGACTTGCTGACAACACTGTGCGCATTCTCTCTTTGGATCCCTCGGTACGTTTTGCATCTATGTATGCATTGAATTTCCCCCTGGCTGTTTCCTATGCGGTCATACTTAGGTATAGTCTCGTTATGTCTCCAGTCATCTTTTGATCGCCTCATGTAATCTAACTCACCCCTATAGTTGTCTAGCTTTCAATTGTGCGAACATCATCAGTCTCTGCTTCCTGGTTTCATGTAAGAGCCTACCATGGACAACAGTTTCATTCAAGTAACCTTTTCAACTTTTCGTCCATACAGGACTGTCTCGCTCCACTTACAATGCAAGGTCTACCGTCGACTCCAGAGTCCCTTTGCATCGTGGAGATGGGAGTAGGTGAACCAATGGGGTCTTCAGAGGGAGAGCCGGAGAAAATGGCTACCGGAATCTTGTATCTAAACATTGGCCTCATCAATGGTGTCCTGCTACGGGTGATCTTGGATCCAGTTACTGGCGAGTTATCCGATACTCGTACGCGATACCTTGGCACTCGTCCTGTTAAATTGTTTCGCATTATGATGCAAGGTGGAGAAGCAGTGCTCTCAGTCTCCAGCCGGTCATGGTTGAGCTACGCCTACCAGAATCGATTCCACCTCATTCCACTATCGTATGAAGCTTTAGAGTACGCTTCTGGTTTTTCATCTGAACAGTGCCCTGAAGGTATTGTTGCGATCTGCGATAATTCACTACGGTAAGCACCTCATCACAAAATTGATCTTAATCCCAAAATGATGTCGAATCAAGCATACGTGAATTGTGTTGCGGCCTTAACGCTGTTTTTCCTTTGTATGGGGTTTTTTGGTTTTATTGAAGCAGCAACACTTGGGAGCATTTCACACTGTAAACTGCTTGACGAACCCCATTCTACTCATCGGTTTGATTTTGTCGCGGCTACTGCGAGTGCAGCGATTTATCATCGCTTCTTAATCACCCCCCCCCAGGAAGCGTTGCATTTCCCATCGCTCTTTATTAAATCATTGTTGGTAGAAATAAATGGTACGCTACTTAACTTAACAACTTTTCAACATGTCCTACAGTTAGTGCACCAGACTGAAACTTTTGATTTGATTGGACATGTTGACCACTATCAATCGTCATCAGTGTGAACAACAACCGCAGACTCCGTGATTCGCAACGCCTTTATCGGCGTTTATTCACAAAGTAGTGCTAATATTTTATTTACGTACTTTGACAAATCAGTATGATTTCGTTGCACAATCCTACTCCTTAGTAATATTTCAAATCTGTGATAACATTGCAGCGTATGTTTATTACATACCATCATATAAAATAGCCCATCACGTTTTTCTTCATCCTTCGTCTTCCCGCATGCGACTTCACTCATCTACTAAAGATCATCCGTAATAAGCGTTGGGTTTAGTGCATTTGATCTGCTGACATCAGACACTGAGCTGCAGCGGATCCATTTGTCTTCACTTGCGTTGATCACATTTGCCATATGAGGAAGCGAGAGCCAGCATATCAGCGGCTCCGTGACTGCGGCGTGTTCAATGGGTATGAAAGAACTGATTTTGCCGACCCCAAATAGACAGCACACACTCACGCCATCTAGCATGTGTTTGAATTCTGCTCTTTTCCATCTAATTGTATCGCCATCCCTTGATCTCACCCACCCGAGGCTGTATCACTGAACAGTGCGCACTGAGGCGACAAACCAGCTTATTATGTGTGTAACATAGACCATCGTGCCAGTTACCAGTTGGCGAACTACAATGCTACTCACTCGGTCGGCCCTCAACGATTGGCACTGTGGTACGCGGACACCGGTGATCAAGTAATCAGTTACTTAATGTGCTCCGCAAGCTGCTGCCACTTTTATGTTCTATCTAGTGCAAACGGCCGCACTGTGGTGTTGTACATTCTGTTATAGGTCAATAAACAATTTCACCGCCTCCACAAATGACTGAGGTTCTACAAAACCACACCGATATGAGTAGCTACCTCTTCTATGATAATGATGAACACGCCTTTCTGCTTATCTTTCATCCTAAACTCTCATTCGGTTGCACGAGGAACATGGTCTTATGATAGAATGTATCTCTTCCACCATTTGACATAAGGATCTGCTGTTGCTCGGCGCACTAGACAACACTTACCCGTATGGTAGACGAGCCTCAGGTAATCCATGCGATGAATCACTGCTGCGATCGCAGCAGACGTACTCTCAGGCGCGAACTAGCATGAAGCCTCCCAGCTGACAACGACTTATGGTAGCTTCGGATGGTTCAACATATTGGGGACGCAGCATCGACTCATGGGTTCCGCACGATCCTTCAAATAATCAGTACCCTGTCCCAGCAGCTAGTCAGTGTATGGGAAATTGTTAGCAGCACCGACGCCTTGATTCATCATAATTCTAACCTTTTGGCTCGATTGGCAGAATGCTGTCGAGAGCATTTCGGTTGATCTTTTCCGCTTTGTGCTCACATAACTCGAGTTGAACCTTAACCCAATAGTTGACGGGTTCCAACTTGGTCTGCCGTTCGGCGCTGTCGGTTTAGATTATCTCGAACCCTCGCTACTTGAGGATGATCGTGAGGTATATTGCATCGGAATGCCCTCCGTTCGCACAGGTACAATTGAAAAACACAGCCCCAGTCAACTCGATGAATAAATCGTCACGGCATCATTCAAGAGGGATCGTCACGCTGTTTTTTATTCTGATGATGGCCTCCATTCTCGTTAGTCGCTTTACCACGGGTGCGACGGGACTCTCCGATAAGAGAGGAACAGACACATTTCCTACCACTTTGGAGGAGACTATGTAGACCATGCTTGAACAGCGTCTTACGTCCGGCATACTCACATAACGAAACTTGTGCCTGCACCATCTGTTCTTTCACTTCACACCATTTATCTCCCCCAGTTCTCACTTCGTGTAGGCTTGAAAATCGATGGCACCAACATTGCTGCTGTATGAATAAGTTGAAAGCGATCGAGGCGAAACCATAAACTCTGTTGAACAGGGCAGATTGCAACATTTATGACCCGAATGTGTTACGAGATGAAGTATAACACCACTTGTTTTTCGTCCACTTCGTACGGATTGCGCATGAAGTAAGGTTGCTTGCGATGCGGCACAGTGAAAGCAGCATTTTGTTGTCCCGTGGATCTTCTCGGCAGTTAGTGACCGTGCGAGGTGTTGCTGCGTACACCTACTCTAGGATTTTATATTTGTGTTTTTCGGCCTAATTAATGGTCCCACTATCCTCCTCCATAGGGCCGCTGCACTCGCATTGCACCGAATCCTCATTTAAATGTACCGACGTTATAGTTTTTGATGACCATGATATTTTTATCCACCTGACTAACTCAACTGATCGGCGATTTCCAGCGCCTGTCCGGTCCTAGTTGCACGTCAGCTCAATCTTGCAGTAATAATGTGGACTTTAGGTATCAGGAACTTTAACAACCACCAGTCAAGTGATCATGGCCTTTTCTACACGTATCCAGTTCATGGCCGAACGGATCACACTCCTACTTTGTAACCTGGAGGTCATGTGATCGAGCCTGTGTAGGGTACCGAGCGACCCACGCGTTACTGGTGATGCTCGCTTAGCAGCGGGGCGTCGGTACTGTCTATCTCCATATTGCTGATTCCTCTTTAGTATCCATTGCCGATCTTGCCTCCAGCCTTCACTCATTGTTTGTTACCTACGATGATTCTGACGCATCTGTTCGTTCTACTTTTTATCTTTATTTCGTTTTTCTGTGTTCCACTTGATTTTCGCTATCGGATAAGCGTGTCAAAACTACCGGTTTCACGGCGCTACTCCACTTACGTGTCGTACTGAATTAAGCGTGAAAACGTGTTCATCTTGATGCCGGTTGATAACGACTGCGATCACCACTCTCTTGTCCACTTCAGTTTTGCATGCTAATGCATGATCATTATTTTGCATCGGTTTTCCATTTTGTTCCACTCAGTATCATGGCTTTAGAGAAGCTGGGTGCGGTCTTCAATCAGACAAGCTATCCTCTACAGTATACACCCAGGAAGATGATTTTGCATCCGGAGTCAGGAATGGCTTACATCATTGAAACTGATCACAATTCCTACACAGATGAGGTCAAGGAGCTTCGTAAGCGTCAAATGAGCGAAGTGAGTATTCTTGTTTTATTGACCCCATTTTCTCAGTTACTCTTATGTTAAAAACAATGTACTCTGCTCCTGATGGAGTGCGCTTTCATTTTCTTTGCGTCACTCGATTTGTTCGAAACCCTGTCATGTTGAATGCAGGTTGCATCGTCGGCATTTTGGTGCCTGTGGATTGCCGCACTTTGCAACATTGCAGCAACAACAGCACTCTATTTTCGCCGGTGTTGCTTTGCTTGTGGTAGTGTCACCCTCCGTAACTTTTAAGGTACTCGGTTTTACACACAAATGGCTTTCTTTCTCAAATCTAAATTGGTGCCCTATTCAACTCCATTCCAATCTTTAAATGGTTTGGAGGGATCAGGGTACCCACATTAAAAATACCGCTCCACCATGGAGGCCCTGGGGCAACACTAGTTATTCTCTTCTCTATCCCCTCACGGTGTGTAAATCTCTTGGACTCATTCGTCCAAGTGTAGCTCACACCGCATATCGACCTGGTGGTTTTGCCGCCTTCGATGCGAATTCACATCGACCATGCTGCAAACCCCCTACACATTGTCTACTTTGTCTTGCTACATCCTATGTGTAGGCTTCACATGCTTTCTCGTGGTTCGAGTTGCGTTTCCGTTTTTGTGTTTTTCACATTCATGCCACAATTACGGGGCAACTCGACTAGTGTCGTCGCGGTGACCGCGTCACCACGGCAGTATATTATTTCCACATGGGAAATGCTCATCTCCCTGGTGTGAAGTGCCCCGCTGTTACTCGCCCCCAACACGGCATTCCCCGTGGCGGATCTGTATGCTATCGGACGCGTCCTCACGTTGCGGATAGGGTAATGCCTTCCTTGTGGAGGTAACTGCTAATAAGTCTCGTTTGTCTTGCAGGCGCTATGAATAACTAGTCGCGGACAATCAGCGGCAGCGTCTCAGAGCATGGGAGTTCTGGGCGGGTCACCTGGTTCTCCATCACATATCACAAGAGCTCGTACGGCGCTGTGTCAAAGTCAATGTGACCGGCTATAGGGGCACTTACCACTCACTTCTGTAACCAGAGGTGAGCGGATGAACAATCTTGCTGGTCACCGGTTTCTCTGTGGACCGCTACTGAACACAAAGAAGGCGAAGGATGTCAACTCGGATGTCAACGATTTTCGTTAATCGTCCGGCTGTCTTGCGGGTTAGGTCTTAATACCAAAGGCTTGGGTTGGATTCCCTTAAGTCAACCCTCTTCCTCGACCTGGGCAACCGGGAAGATCTCTGCCCACACAACACATTAACATTCTAAACCTTCCAAATCCTCTCACTGACCCCGTTTTTCCCCTTTTTGTTGTTGTTAACTATGTGTTATGGCACTGCCAATTGTACATTGGTCAAGTGTTGAATAGTAATAATAGTAATAATACTAACACTGCACTCCCTATTTGGACTGTTCATATGGAATCCAGCCGTCCAGCTTGTAATCTGACGGCGCGTGTTCCAGTCTACGTAGGTGCAGGACGACCCTCGCAGTATTCTTAGCCCCCACGTGCGACCGGTGGTGGTTGCGCGGCAGTAAAGCGTCGGTACTGCTTCGTGCCAGCGTACTGTTGAGGCCTTTCGTGTCGAATCCATGGCGTAGAACACCAGAACTCTCCATTTTCGGTCACGGTCCCGGTGGTGGGGGGGGTAGGTATACCACCAAAGCGAAACTAGGTCTCCATGTAGTAGTATTGTAAGTGTAGTGATGAACACGGTGAGTCCACCGTGCAACCATGTTGATCATCCTCCTTTTGTGGAGTCCCAGTCTGTGCAAATTGATCACTTTTAGCTCATTCGATCTGTCTTGAGCACCGCAGACGTTCCAATAGCCAACCATCACCATCGCTGTATATTTTCGTAAAACGAAGCATACATGCGTGGTACGTTAACAACATTCAAACCCTCACATTCCTACTCTTCATCCAAGTATCACTAGCCTCACTTGTCCTCACTATAGGTGGCATCCCGGTGAATATTCGGATGAAGTGTGGTGCAACCGGCGTTGACCCGATTCCAGGTGACAAATCTACACGCTTGTAGCGCACGAATGAGCCGCGTAATTTCCTCAAATTTCTCGCATTCCTTTAACTGTGAGAGATTTTCGCAACATGAATTAATATTTGCTCGTTATCGCACTCCTCCGAATCATCCTGTGCAATGAGACTAAAAGTTTATTTACCTGCATAGTGTGTTGGCACTTTGACAACTGATACCGCTGGGTTTTGCTTACTCCTATCGCCTCTGGCCGTGGTATCATGGCTTCTTTTGGACCGACCGAGTCTATACTGTGTCACGATCTTCCTTCTCACCGCACTCCGTTTTATCTCTCTGGATGTTCATGCCTGGAGATATATCTTCCATCAGTACTTGTTTGTCTTTTTGCTGGCCCGTGGCTTAATGGATCACAAGCCTGCTTTGTAATCCTAGGGCGCGGATTCGAGCCCACGTATGGCACTGGACGACCCCCGCAGTATCCTTAACCCACGCGCGACTGTTGGTGGTGGCGCGGCAGCGAAGCGTCGACTCTGCGAACCGGCGTACTGCTGATATCATACCATGTTTGTCTTTCTACCTTCCGTGTTGTTGACGGTGTGCTTGATTTATAGATCTTAACCTCGACCCCTTTGCGGAGCTATTAGTTTTTGTTGATAGTGATGCTTATCAAGCATTTTGAAGGCTAAATGCCTCCTTATTATTTCACTTCGTACTTGTGAATAGTGATTTGCGTGTCCGCCTAGCAATTGCCACTCCGTGCGTACAGTGGTAGCGGCTGGGAGCACTGCTGACCCGGTCATTGGGCAGCTCTGCTTCAAATCCCCACTAGTCAACGGTCCCTAGGCTGGTTGTTCCGGTACTTCAATCACTTAATGGTTAAAATCTTGTTGCATATGGTCAAAGTTTATGATCATTCACGAGTGTGTCACATGTTTTGTATCCGCTTTTCCGTCTCTTTATTTCATCCATATTGTGACACATTCGAATTTATGTTTATATTTGTCCTTTCTTTTTGTTATCATTGCCTGATTCGCTTTCTTTTCCAGAGAATGGTCGCTTCTGCAAATGCAGGTTCTACTGACGAACAGCAGTTTGTCAAGGAATCAGCGGCTGCCTTTCTTGCTGAAAACCTGCCGGAGCACATTTTCGGTGCCCCAAAGGCTGGCCCTGGAATGTGGGCTAGTCTGTTGCGCTGTCTCAATCCACTGAATGGCAATACTCTTCATCTCATTCGTTTTCCTCAAAATGAAGCGGCCCATGCTCTAACTTTTGTCCGATTTGCCAACAGGTCAGTTTCCATTAAATTCTCACAATCATTCGCAACTCCAAATTAAATCGTTGTCTTGCAATCTGAGCTAAATAACTGTGCGCAACAGCACATTTCGACTTTATTCACATCAAAATTCTACACTTCTACACGGACAGAAATTGATTTCGTCTACTTGATTTTCATGTATACCTTTTCTTCCAGACCTGGCGAACAGTTTCTGATTGTTGCTCTAGTCAAGAGTCTCATTCTAAACCCACGCTCTTGTTCCGGTGGCTGTCTTCGTACCTACCGTATCTGGAACAATGGGGAACACATTGAGTTTATTCATGAAACTCCAGTGGACGACTTTCCTGCTGCTGTCTGCGCATTTCAAGGTCGGTTACTAGTTGGTGTTGGGAGCAGACTCCGAATGTATGACATGGGCAGAAAGAAACTTCTGAAAAAATGCGAAAACAAGGTTGGTTATTATTTCGTTTATTTTTCTCTATCCATGTTTTTGAGGCAGTAATCACGTTGTTATTCTAAACTTTTCAGCATATTCCCAACCTTGTTACTGGCATCTACACGGTTGGCAGCCGCATCATAGTCACTGACGTTCAAGAGAGTGTTCATTGGGTTCGTTACAGGCCTAGATCTGAAAACCAGCTGGTCATTTTTGCCGACGACACTAATCCTCGATGGATCACCCATTTAACTGTACTGGATCCATCCACAGTGGCCGTCTCGGATAAGTTCGGTAACGTGAGTGTGTTACGCCTGCCGAGTGGTGTCATTGATGACATTGAGGATGATCCAAGTGGAAACCGTGCTCTCTGGGACCGTGGCTTCCTCAGTGGAGCTAGCCAAAAAATCGATGTACGTTGTCCACCGTATTTAAGGATCATCTGATCACTCTTGACCAATAAACTAACTAGCTTTCCTTGTTTTCACAGGTGTTGTGCCACTTTTATGTTGGGGAGGTTGTTACAACTCTTCAGAAAGCCACACTTATTCCCGGTGGCTCGGAAGGTATTGTGTACTCCACGCTATCTGGTGGATTGGGGATGCTTGTACCATTCTCTTCTCGGGATGCATATGATTTCTTTCAACATCTGGAGTTGCACATGCGATCCGAAGGACTCTCCCTCGTTGGACGTGAACACGTCCATTATCGGTCGCAACATTACCCATGCAGAGTAAGTGTTTATAAGGGCGTGTGTTTTCTGCATTCGAGAACTTTATTTAGTTTTCCTAAGCACTCCAAAAGTCCTCGGCCTTGCTCAGCCTTGTCCTGACTCTTAAAGTTCTCAGTGCGATTTTCTCATGAAGATCACTACGTTTCGGAAGATATTACCTTGTTTTCCGTTGCTTGGTAAATAAAACTGGTTTTTGCCCTCCGAGAGTATCACTCATTATCCAGCTTTCTAACCGGTTCATGAATTTTATTATTCTTATGATGATTATTATTATTTTACCCATTTTTCTCACTCTAGTCTGCTCATTATATTCCACTCATTATAAAAATGCATAGCCATTTCATGCGAATGAGCCACAGATGTCTGTTCCTGTCCGAAATTACCCACCTTTTAGGTTATTCACCAAATCTCTTCCAATGTTTTGCACAACTCCGTTCACTTCATTCATGCTTAGATGTGCTCGTAGTCACTTATGATTCCAACTGTGTTGGACAATTTTGGTCATGAGTTATCTATAGACAAACGGTGAAAAACCAGTTACAGCAATCATTTTTATTGTTAAGAACGACACGTGGCTCCATTTTACTCGGCCGGCGAATGTGCCTATTAACATTTGTGCGCTGTGGTACACTGTAAGGTAAGCTGTTACCCCCGCGAGCTTATGGTAAATTATCGGCACCCATTTCCCTTGGTCTCTACCAATTAAACTGTTTACTATGCCTGTTTCAGGTGATCACTTTAAGAGGTGCAGTCTCTTCCTAATGCTCAGCGCCATTGGGATTTTGAGAGGCGTTGTTACTACACAGCAAAGACATCGGTCCTGTAATTCCCCATTTAATGGAACTGCAGCTGAGAACGGTACACAAGCGCTTCTTTCTTATTCCCGCCAACCTGATACTCAGCATAGCATTTTAAGGTGTAATTCGCTGTGCCAGTTGTGTCTCCATGGTTTCCTCCTTCACCTTCACCGGTGTTAGTTGATAACCTCATGTCTTCCAACTCCGACGAGATCGGTATGGGCTAGTGTTCTTGTAGTGATGCAGTGTCTGGACTCGCCACCCTCTTTCCGCACCTACTGCAAACCAGTGACGACTTGCTAATTGGTGCACTCTATACTTGGCTCAACACCGTACCCGAAGTGGTCATCTACCGATCAGCATTGGCCAAATGTCATCCCATCTTTAGGCAGGATCATGGGCCGTGGCATTAGACATTGACAACAAACTGCTCTGTTCGTTGTACTTCGGTTGACCGGCAGCTCTGATAACGGTCGGTTCCTTGTAATCCGGACTAGCCAAGTCAGCCAAGGGCTGAGGTACTAACGAACAGCAGACAATCTGACGTTCTTATGTGCATACATTTGAAGGCGTTTGATCGTACTTGATGTGGCAGTAGCGCCTAATAACTCATTTGTAATGTCGACTTTATCAGTCCTTCTTTTTATTCTTCTCACCTGGCACCTTCAACGTTCTCGTGCTTAGTTTATTTTTCGTTGCGTCGTTTTCCTGTTTGGTTTGCATTTACGTATTTTTCTTTTGAGTGTTATGCTCTACTCCTCCACTTCCTCACCATCTTCTTTTCTGCGTGTTTCGTTATTCTTGTAACGCTTGCTGTGACAGCTTCCACCTCGATTCGGTGCTTATTTGCCCACGCTTTACTGACGAAATTCACGTTGCGTCTCACTCTTGGAATGTCACATTCATCAGTTCACATCCAACAGCCAACTCCATTTGCAGTTCAGCACATTGTCCGTTGTGATGCGGTCACCTTCTGACATTGTAGCACCCGTATGTTAGGTTACGACCGGCTTTTATCGTTTGCAAACACCACTCGAATTCACAACATAATGCTCTGCTTAATTACACCGTGTCTCTGCTATCGTTTTACTGTTTACCCGATAGGAATTGCCTCAGTGATGTTATATCTTTTTGGCGTTGGCCGGATGTTTTTGTGAAGTTCTGACTCGTTTCTCCTTACCTTCTGCTTGATGTGTCTCAGCTGTGGGCTGCTCTCAGATTGCGTATTATGCTCCACTGCGCTGTCCCCTCTTCTCTTCAGAATGTTATCGATGGAGACGCATGTGAAATATTCAATTCTTTGGAACCCTCAAAACAACGTTCCATCGCTGAAGAAATGGACAAGACACCCAGCGAAATTGCGAAGCGTCTCGAAGACATCCGCACAAGATTCGCTTTCTAATCCTCCGTAAAACATTTGTACAGTTTCACCAACTTTGGGTATTTGTTTCTTGCATTCTTTGCATCCATACTATACAGTACCATATTGTCATTGTTTTGTGTTCCCTCACTTTCTGCACGGGCACATATAGTCGTGGGAAATCCCTGTCAAGCGAAACAACCATTTACTTCTCTTACGGTTGTCACCAAGATATAGCCGCTCTCAACCAGCATAGTCCCGCCTCCATCACTTATTGGTGTGCATTGC